CTGCCAAGGTTATTTAAAATATCTTTCTTTCTTATGAATAAAAGTATTTATGTGTGTCTAATTGTGTGTGTCAGAAAAAAAAATAGCATAGAAACACAGACAGATGCTCTAAATATGACAGGCCTTAAAAATGCAAGCATATATGCACAAAATCCCATATATTCAAAATGCAGAATTATTAATTCAAAACAAAAATGTTTTTCAAGAAAAGTGAGGTCATAAAAAACTCCTGTAAAACGTCCCTATTAGCTATCTGTGAATTCTTTTTATTCCACAATCATCATATATTTCATGTGGAATATTAGAAAAGCTTTAAAGAGCATGTGTGGGGAAAAAAAAAAGTGTCTAGTGCGGTTTGGTATTCTTTTCCTGACTACAAATAGTATCTTGGAACTCAATCTAAAGCCATTCAAAACCTTCCACTGAATCAGTTGGTTTTGCATCAAAACAGGCATGTCAGAGATTCTTTAATAATAGAAGTAAGTACTTTGTCCCACTGAGCAGCTTTCCAAAGCTTCTACAAGGTCAGGAGTATTACCCGGTTTATATAAGAAAGTTGCCTTCCATCCAAACACCAGATTTTGCATATTTCAGGCCTAGGGAAAGAGGATTTGAGTCACACTCCTTTTACATTTGCAAAGAGAAGAAGACACCTTCTGGGGAAGGCTGAGCATTAAGAAAAAGGTGGTTCTTTACAATCATCCCTGGGTGTAGCATGTTGGGATGTTAAGATACGAGTTGACAGAGGTATCCTGAAGATACAGATGTGATGAATTCACATATCATATGCAGAGTGTTCTTCCCTCCTAAGCGTTTAGACTCACACAAGGAAACCCATGAAGGCACAACTATGTCTGGCATTACATTTGAGTTGAAGCTGGATTCCAACCTCTGTGCTGTGCACATGGGATGTACTTTATGTGTTCCTGTATGCGTAACACCTGTTCAATTTACACACTAAAATGTACACAGCACATAAGAGTAACGAATAACACAAATGCGAACATGTGCACATCTTTGCATCTATGCAATTAAATTACCTTTTTTTTTTCCTTAAAGATCAGCCAAATATGTAATTTCGCGGAAGATAAAAACCTAAAGCTAAACGTAAAAACCATCACCGCTGCCACAGCCAGCTTTGCACGGAAAAAAACCTCCATGTTCCGTATGCAAACGGAAAAACGGCAGTTCTCCCAACCGGCAACAAAGAGAACGCGGTCAGCACAGCTTCGCCTGCTTCGTCTCTCCCCGTCGCGGCCACC